ACCTTCTTGAAGCAGGCTTCAGCATGCTTCTTATGCCCAACAAATGAGTTCTTGATTGTTCTGTCCATCTAGCTTTCAGAATCTTTCCGTGTCATGCTGCATGTCCACTCCATAATACGAAACTAAAAGAACGACCATTTTTTTATCTGCCGTGGATTCACACACTGCATGCATATTCATTAAATTTGTCTTCTGATTTTTAGCCATCACAGCAGCGAACATGGCAAATACACGGGAGCAGGGCAACGTATGTCAGTCAAAAACGCTTTTGACTTCCTGTTACTGAGCAGACTCAAATAAGCCATCCTCTGCGTCCAGCAGCTGCAGCAGGCCACCATGGGCGATGGTCAAGCGACGTCACTTTTCTCAAGGATAAAACAGCCCCGTCAGTCAGATGTTTCAATACTACTACTACTGCTACTCACCCATCCATCCATCATCCATCTGTCCATCATCAAACGTAAAATGTATGTGCATGACGTGAAAAAGTACATACAGTGGTACCTCTACTTAGGAAATTAATTGGTTCTGGAAGAAGTTTCTTAACGAGAACATTTTGTAAGCAGAGACGCATTTTCCATGTAAATACCCTAATCTGTTCCAAGCCCCCCAAAATTCAGACTTAAATGTTTCCTAGAGCAGAAAAATGCATCAAAATATGTAACAAACATGTTACAATTAGATTATTGAACAATAAATGAGAGTTGTGCATAATGTAAAAAAAAAAACAAAGATAAGAGTAAAGAATAAAAATTATGTTCATTTAACTTTTAACTGCATCCTCATCGTTTTTTGACGTCTTTAGTTCATGTTCTCTCTCGGAAGTGGTTTTTGCCTGGCGTTTTGTAAAGAACTCATCCGTGGACGTTTGCTTTTGTGGGCGTTTAACAATCCTTCGAAAATGTCTAAGACAAACATCAGCATTGTGAGCAATCACTGGACTGGTGAACACTTTTTCTGGGTGATTGACATTTACATAAAATTATCGGAATGCCTCATGGCTCGAGGGGCGAATGACGAGGACCCCGCATAGACATATATCTATCTATACACATAGACACATTCGGTAGAGGTCCATCTGAGCCAATGGGATGCCAGGAAGATGCTCGGTCATAGCCATTGGCAGAGCAGCTTTCAGTATGTTGCGTTCAGGAAACTCACAGCTGTGAGTAGCTTTTATCTTTCGTATCTTGAAATTTCTTTCTTCAGTTGCTCAACAACGCTTCGGGTGGCCCTGGATGTTCCAGGATGTCAGGCAGTTTGTTGCCACCTGTCTCTTTTACTGCTGAGGGAAGTCCTCTCGCCATAGCCCCATGGGTCTCCTGCTACCTCTGCCCATCCCAAGCCGTCCTTGGTCCCACCTGTCAATCAATTTTGTCTCTGGTCTATCTCCCCCTCATGGAAACATGGTCATTTCGGCCGTGGTTGACCGATTCTCCAAGATGGTTCAGTTCATTCCATGACCCAAACTTCCCTCCGGCCTTGAGACAGCGGACATAGTTGTCTTCAAGCTCCATGGCATCCCCATTGACATGATTTCTGTCCGGGGCCCCCAGGTTCATTGGACCTGTTGAAATTGAGGGGGGCCTTAACCCATCCACCATCCATCTAAGGCAGGAGTGCCCAACCAGTCAATCGAGGTCAACAGGTAGTCCGCGGGCTGGTCCCAGGTCCATCGAGAGGGGTGTCAGGGGAAATGGTGGAAAAAAATAACTGTGTATCTTTGTTTGTGAAATGAATATTATTTTTGAATAAAGTAAGCTTTCATTTATTCACTGCTGGTAGGAACTATTAGTTTGCTGTGTCCCCAGCCCAGCTAATAGCAGAAAGTCCCATGCTATTAATAATATCATTCATAATAGCTTTTCAAGAAGTTTGCAATGCATTTGAAGCTCCTGGCTGATTACAAAAAGAGGAAGCAGGTTTTAGATTTAACTTTATGCAACCCCATCCCCGACCCAAGCACAACCAGGTGCAACCTGATTGCGTCGCAGAGGCGGCGTTTGCCGCGTCGACTTTTTTGGCGCGGTAGCATCAACCAGGACTGGGATACAGAGCACTGGCCTCCCTGCAGAGTCTGGGTCCAGGGTACTGTGCCCGGTGCCAATTTGGGAGTGACAAAAGCGGAGCATTAGCAGAGGCCCCATCGGGAGTTATGGCCTCACCGCACAGACCAGACACAGTCCGTGAGAAAAGTGGTGAGACAACGGCTTCTGTGGAGTTACGTCCACAGCTGAAGGAAGAACATGCGGCCTGGAATGGACTGAGAAACACAACAATTTATCTGTGACAAAAGCAGCGGCCGTATCAAAGGAGGTGCGATTAGAAACTAAACCCTCAGTCCAACTAGAGAACATCACCGTGTTACACAAAATACAGCATGGTCATCAGCTGGCACCAGTCAATAGACCATATAGGAAAAACAACAGCCAACATAATGCAAATATACGCAAGTTATTGATGAGGAAATACAGATCGAGTAAGGTATTTCAGACATTAAACCAGGCAAAGAGAATATGGGATGATGGATCCCTACTACAAGCTGTAAGGCTTATTTGGGGGATATTTAAATATTTGCAGCTTGGCCTCCAAAAGAGAACAACTTGAACATTTCATGATTAAATCTAATATTGATGTTATAGGGTAGTCAGAGTGCCATCATCACGAGAATCCCTTGTCACAATGCCTGGTTATATTGTTTTCAGGAAAGACAGAATAGAAGGAAAGGGTGGTGGTGTCCTCCTTTATGTAAAATAAAAAACTTAAAATGTATTCAATTCGAAATACAAAGAGAAATCGAACTGGGATGTGTGGGAGTGAATATAACACTCCACAAGTATGTGCTTATAGTTTTCTGCATATATCAAAAACCTACTACCAAATATTCATTTTTAGAATCAACTCAAAGCGCTTCTCAAATTACGCAATCATAAAAAAAAAAAGAGATCATCCTACTTAGTGATTTTAATATAAACTGGGACAAAAAAAAAAGATCTCAAAGCCATTACCGATCATTTCAGTCTTATTCAACTCATCAATAAACCAACAAGAATCACCACTCGTTCTCAAACTAAAATAGATCTATTGTTCACAAACAGACCTGAAAGAATTAATCAAACTCATAATCTCTTAACAGGATTATCAGATCATAATGCATTTTTATTTATTAGAAAACTGTTAGAAAATCCATTCGTAAATCCAAACGAAAGTATTTAAACCAACACAACAAATATAATTCCTCGGAGCCAACGACACAATTTCAAAGAGGCAATAAACATACTTGACTGGAATACCATTCTCTCTTCAAATGATATTACTTTCTGTTGTCATCGTTACTCCCCCAAAATTTGATCAACTATTGATAAGTTGTCAATTAGTACACGGCAAAAGAAAAATAAAATCCATCTGCCATGGATAAACCCAGAAGATGTACAACTCATGAAAAATCGGGACTATCTCCTAAACCTGGCATGGAAATCAGGATTGAGTGTAGAAAAACAAAAATTGACATAATCAAGAAATAAAGTGATACAAACATTACATAGGACAAAAGCAAACTATTTCATGAACATCACAGAAAACACAAAACGCAACGGCAAAAAACAAATCTGGAACAGTCTAGTATAACTCCCGGGTAAATGAACAAAAACAGGAGAGAGTTAGCAATAAATATATATATATATATATCCCAAAATTGTCATCCCTCTAAACAGGAATATAATCCAATCAATGATCCCACTTTTTAACATAAATAAGATAACTACTGGAGAAGCAGCCAACATCATGAGCTCACTCAGCACCTTGAGAGTCAAAGATGATTTTGGTTTTGACGTCGGCTTTTTAAAAGAACACAAGAAAACACTGATAGAGCCAATCGCCCACATGGTGAATGTATCTATGAAAAATTATGTTGACCAAGATGCATGGATAATAGGTGGTCAGTCCAATATTTAAAACCGGGGACAAAAATGGTAAAATCAAACATCTAGATCAATAAACATAGTATTCTGTAGAATCAAAAATAATTGAAAAACGGATTGTTAAAACTATTCATCGAACAAAAATCTAAAAGAGAATAAAAGTCCTCGACATCACATGCAATTTGGCTTCAGCTTCCAATATTCAACTGAGGATGCTCTCAGTGTGTTCCTAGATAAAAACCCCAAAGCTTTTTCGACAAGAGTGAATATCAGTGCTGTTTTTTTGGACCTGAAAAAAAATCATTTGACACTGTTGACCATAATATTCTTCTAGCACAATTAACTAAATGAAATTTCTCAGAACAAGCTTTAAAATGGATGAAAGCGTATGTCAGAAACCGAAAAACAGTGTGTGGTGGTGAGTGATATCAAATGACCCTACCTGGAGTGTCCAGTGGGGTCCCACAAGGCTCTGTACTTAGACAAATTCTAGTTTCGCTTTACCAGTCCAATGCAAAAATACTCATATACAAATGTACACCGATGACGCAGTGATATACTGTATAGTCCCACAAAAACTGTGTAAGAAGCTGGATGCATTCTCACAGCTGAATTGACCATTGTCATTACTCAACTTTCTCTTTGTCTCTCTGTCTTTTTTCTTTTTTTTTGCCACCTGTCCCAGCTTTTTTGAAGCGTGTTGCAGCCAAAAAAATCTAAGTTTATTATGATTTGCTTAAAAACAATAAAGTTTATCAATTTGAACATTAAATATGTTGTCTGTAGTATATTCAATTAAATTAAGATATCCTTTATTTGTCCCACACTGGGGAAATTTACAGTCTACAGCAGCAAAATTGGGGAGTAGAAAGAAGAAAAAAACAAAGCATACATGCAACTGGTATAAGGTGGCTGTGCTATTTACAATTGTTACTGGTTTTTCACGTATTTTATTTTTTATTCAGCAGGTTGAACATGATCTGCGAAACATGGTATTCTGGTTGTATGTTTCATACAATGTCTCAACTTCATTGGAGTTGTAGTTACATGAAGCTATAGAAAACAACAGTCGAGAACACATTTTTCACAGATTTAATATAAATACTTTTATTTTCATGTGTCATCTGATGGTGATGTTTAGGTTGTGTCTAAAGTCTAATGAGTGGAGTGCAGTTGCCAGGGCTGCATACAGGTGAGAACTGCTGAAACGCAGGCAATACACTGGGCTGCTCACCAGGTCGGAGCTCAACTGGAAAAACTGCCAAAAAAAAAAAAAAAAATCAAAACACATACAGTTTTACTATTTGGTGCAATATCTATTATGTTACAGGGTTTCATTCTATAATAAGTGCATTTAAATTTGATGAAAGAAAGAGCAATGAATAAAGTGCACTTACTGAATGACAATTTTTTTAATGGGGAAAGGTTCTAAATAAAGTCAAAATTAAAAATAGAAAGCCTTTTTTTTGTTACCCTGCAAACACTGTCCCCCAGACATGACGAATAGTTCTGATGTCACGCAGTGCTGGCTTCATTTATTATTAATTTGTAAATGTTACATTTTTTAATTTTCACTACTTCTCTCCCGTGGCATTGATTTATGTAGAGAAGGAAACTGGAAGCTTTTGAGAAAAATGTCATCATTGGTAGCATTTGACTGCCTATAGAACATGGATGGTTTCTACCTCCTTTTACCTGCAAATGGAAACATATTTGGTATATGAAATCATTGTAATTAGCAAATAAAATTCCAGAATATTTAAAAGCAATGCATAACCACAGAATAAACTACTCAATGAGCAGTGTACAGTATAGTAATCTCTCGCTATAACGCGGTTCACCTTCCGCGGCTTCGCTGTTTCACTGATTTTTTCATTGCAATTTTTAAAATACTTTTTTGAAACAATGAATTGTGTTCTGCATCCTGATTGGCTAAGGGACTGACCAACGTGAACGGTCTCCACACCTCATCTCTGTACAGTTTGCCAAATTTACCTTTGCAAATTTTTGGTGTTTGGTTTCATTCTATCAGTGGCGGATGCTGGTCTGTCAAGGAGGGGAAGCTCAATTTCGGCCTACAGCATAAAATGTCTCAGTTTATTTATACGTGAATTCTACTCTCCGTTCCTTTTCAAAAAAATCAAAAGGATGCCTTCACCATAATATCGGTGATTGGCTTTCAATGAAAAAGAGATTCAGCCTCAGACAGATCATCCAATCATCATGCAGAAAAGCTGAGCGTCCGGGTCAGCCAATACGCTGAGCGTCCAATGGGCGGGACAAAACCAGCATTTATCCAATGACTCGTCTCATTTCAATGCATTGGGACAACCTACACTGAACTCTCTAGATGCCGAGCGTCCGCACGGTTGACGCTTAGCGTCCACACAGTTTAAAACAGTGAAGCTGGGGGAATGAATGAGAAGAGAGTCACGTCGTAACCAGTAATAATAAGGTGATTCGGAACAAAAGTTGAGCATGTTGTAGCGCATATTTAGTCAATGACATGTCCACACAATTGTACGTACACACAAATATTTGATCACTTACTTTTTGACATTTTCCGGGAAGCTGAGCTTCCCTTGCAGTCTTAGAACAATCGGCTCTGCATTGTATATATAGTTCAGTATTGTATAATAACTGTAAAAAATAAAGCTGACTATCAAGTACCAAGTACATTTTTATTTGAAATTTTGTCCCTCTCACATTTTTTTGCTTTTTTTTTTTAATTTATTTTTTTTTATAAATCCTACTTTACGGATTTCACTTATCACGGGTTCTTTGTGGAATGTAACCCCCGCGATAAACGAGGGATTACTGTACATCGGTTATAAGGATGCAGCATCCGGGCCTGCCTAGGCCGTGTCCAAGCACACATGGCACACGGCACATAAATAAATGAATAAATAACAAACAAACAAACCTTTTGATGTGTTGTATTTTATCCTCATGTTGATAGATTCGATCAGGTAACTTAATATTGGTGAAAGGCTCAATGAAATAAAAAGAATGAAAGTTGTTTTTTTTTGTTTTTTTTCCCCAAAGGGTCATCGACACCCAAGCGGTTTTAGAAGTCAGAATTTTAAACCACTATTTTATTTTAGGTTTCTTCACTGGTATATTTGGAATGACAGGCATCCTGACAAACAGGTGTTCTGCAGCACTTTCTTCTCAGAAGTAAAAAGCTGAATGCTTGTCACCGACTCCACTATGCAGACTGAGATTGGTGGCTTTTTCATTCAAATCGATACAAAGCACCATGACACACAAATATCTATTAAATTGTCACAATTCTAAAAAGTGTTTTTACTGTAGGTTTGTTCTCATCTCCACCACGTATGTGTTGAGCAAGATTATAGACATGTATGCATTCCACTTTATGAAACCATGAATGAGGACTGCACAACAAACAATGACGTCTTAACCACATTTCGTACTTGTGATGGTGGGAAGCCAATGATATTAACTACTCACGGTAAGAAACAAGTTAATATGTAACGTATTTTCGACACTATGAACTGCACCTGAAAGCCTTCAATTTTCTCGAAAGCTGACAGTGCACCTTATAATGTGACCCGCTTTATACTATATATTGATCAACATTCTGATTTCTTGAATGTAGTATTTTTAAATGTTCTGTACAGCGTTTTCTTTTTTTTTTTTTTTTTTTTTACAGCTGCAGCGGTTGTGTTAGCTCTATATAAATAAAGATGTATTTTATTGTATTCTCTTTTGCATAACGCATAACGCAACCACAGCCACTATTGTAGCTTCAATTCATTCTATGCGCCTTATAATGCAGTGCACTCTGTATATGGAAACAGTTTTAAAATAGGCCATTCATTGAAGGTGCGCCTTATACTCCTAAGCGCCTTATAGTGCAAAAAATACGGTAAATGTGGCTGAAAAGCTGTTACCGCAGCGCGTTGTCTTAACCTGAGTGACATCATCAGTAATGACAATGGTGTTTTAACCATAAGTAATTAATTAGATGATTTCGTTACTCGAATATTAACACAGTTTGTAACGGCGTTATACTGAAATGCCATTACTGTATTGAACTAAACTACATTAATTAATACAATTGCCTTCATAGCTGTGACTGTGCACTTACCGAACTAAATCAGGGCATTGCAATTTTGCTAATTAGTATTTATACTTAATTATTAAAATATTTACTTAACATTGACATTACAACAATTTTTTTTTTTGTGCCATTAGCTATTTTCATGTGGAGTTATATTTGCAAAGACTGACATGGAAACAAATAACATCCATCCTTTAAATTATTGAAAGTATCACTCACCATTATCTACGCTTCAATGAGCCGTAGAATTCCGACAAGTATTATAACAGAAAAGACACAAGTACCGTAAAGTCTCATAGCGATTGTTATTCAATGAAAAATTAAATTTTCGTGAGCACAGTTACTGTCTGAGCATAATTGAACAATCTGGTGATGAAGCGTCACATTGTGTCGCTGGTCTTGTTGTCCGCCGCTGATATGAATCTATTAACGTAAGTGATGATTGGGGCTAGACACAAATCGTTATTATTTGGCTCATGTCGGACTTGTCTGCTGGCTTCCACTACAAATGCTTAAGCATTACATCATTGGAGCCTATTGACAGAACACCACCACGCCTGCCAATGGTGTATTGTCAAAACATAAGTCAATTATCGATAAACTCTTTTTAGTCGTTTTCTACTTATTTGCACAATTATGTGACTCCGAATTTTTGAAACTATCCGAAACAATCAATATGTGCGTAACGAGTTAGCATTCAGTGATTTCCTTGACAAAATATGGACAATCCGTTGGCAGCTCTGAATACCTAATAAACAACTTAATTTATAATTCAATGGAGATTTCTGCATTATTGTATAATATATAAACCATGAACCCACCTGTAAGCATTCAGTCAGTCTTTTGTCCCAGAGTCGAACAACACCATAGTAGGAGGAGCCGCTGGCTATCATGTGATTTCCATCTGTTTGCATACAGTATAAGGCACTATCATGAGGTTCCTCCCACTCCATGACACTCTTCCTGTTGGTAAGAAAATAAAAATACGCTTACGTTCTTGTGAACGACTTAATTCAGAACAAAGAAAGTAAAAGTAACTTTCTATATGTAGAATAAGGGTTCCCAAGTTCCTTTGAGATTTCAAAATTCCGTACTTTTCCAAGTCCCTAAAATTTTCCTTCCTTCCTTCGGACAATAGGTGGGCTCCACCTGGAACTGGTTGCCAGCCAATCGCAGGGCACACAAAAACAAACAACTATTCAGACTCACAATCACACCAAAGGACAATTTAGAGCATATGTGTGCAAACTATGGCCCGTTGGTCTTTTAAATCCGGCCCGTCGAAAGTTGGTACACAATTAAGGTTCGATGTGAATGATTGCATTCATTTCATTTGGACTTGTAATGACAGACATTTCAATGCCAGGTGGCGCAGTTACTTGAAGTTGCATAGCACAGGGAGGGAGGAGTAGATGAAGTGAGAGGGAGAGAGATAGAGGGAGAAATCTTATCTGCCACTTGCGGACCTCTGTCAAACGGAAATTCCCGAACCCAGTAAAAAAAAAACCTTATGCATTAAACTTTCTACTACTATATTACATTAACTCATTCACTCCCAAAGACGTTTTTAAACGTCTTTTCAGACTTAGTCTAGAATTGGCTGGTACTGAATGAGTTAATGATCGATTCATAAGAACGGAAGTTCCGGAAGCCATACGGAAACCCTCAGTAGCGCCAACTCAAGCAACTCCCGCTCGATACGACGGAATAAGCGTCTCCACACCGCTATTTTCATATCATTGGATCCAAAACGGCGGCATTCAAATGACTCTTGATTGCAGTGAGTTTTACTGGAATTGCAAAAGCTTTTAATTTCATTCATTTACATTTACGTCCTGTAGCTCATGGCATCCAAACGAAGAGGAACAGTAATGACCGTGGAAGAAAAAGTGAAATGCATCCGATTAAGTGAAGCGGGTTACAAAAAAGGACAGTCAAACCTCGGTTTTCGAACGTCTCTGTTCTCGACCAAATCGGTTTTTGACCAAAAATTTAGAGTTTTTTTATGCCTTGGATTACGACCGAAATTCGGTTCTTGACCAAAGTGAGCACACTTGAATGCGCCACTCGACTTCTCTCGACTTCCTTACACGAGGAAGTGACGCTTCCTCGGCTTGACGAAGAAGTGACGCCTCCGTTGTGAGCAGACGTGTTCAATGAAAGATTTTTTTAAAAAAAAAGAAAGAGCGTCCGTCCATTGTGAGCAGACGTGTTCAATAAAGATTTTTTATTTTATTTTATTTTTTAAAAAGAGCGTCCATTGTGATCAGACGTGTTCAAAGATTAAAAAAAAAGAGCGTCCATTGTGAGCAGACGTGTTCAAAGATTTAAAAAAAAAGAAAAAGAGCATCCATTGTGCGTCCATTGTGAGCAGACTTGTTCAATAAAGATTTTTAAAAAAGCAGACGTGTTTGTTGACATCTACGCAAATTGGACTGGTATTTCTGCATGGCACCAAAGAACGAAAGTGGAAGTAGTAAAGCTGCTGAAAAAAGAGGAAAATAGTGCGCAAAACTATTGAATTTAAGAAAGATTTGACAGTGAAATATGAATCAGGTGTGCATGTGTCTGTATTGGCTAAGGAGTTCGGCATGCCGAAATCAGCACCATCCGAAAAAAGAAAGACCATCATAAAGTCAGTGATGTGGCGAAAGGATCTTGTGTGTTTAGTGAACAAAGGCCACAAATATTAGAGGAGGTGGAGAAACGTTTGCTTATTTTCATAAATGAGAAACAGCTAGCAGGGGACAGTCTTAGCCAAGATACGATTTGTGGCACAACAAGACAATTGTATGGGGATTTGATAAAAAAAGGATCCTAACATTGCTCCTGAAGAGTTTGATTTTAAAGCAAGCAGAGGATGGTCCAAAAAGTTGAGGAAAAGAAGTGATTCGTCATGGGGAGGCAGCCAGTTCAGATAAGGAAGCTGCCAAAAAGTTTAAAGTTGAGTTTGAAAATCTCATCAAGGCCGAGGAATGTCTTCCCCAGCAAACTTTTAATATGGACGAGACTGGACTTGTGGATAAAGCGGTTCAGAAAATGGATGGAGGGATGTTACCCCGTACCGTAGTGTAGGATTGCAGAGAGAGAGTCCATAGTTACAGCCATTACTTTGGGGTTTATTCATTCAAGGTGTAAAATAATGCAATCTACAATTGTCACGATGAGAGAGAGAGAGAGAGAGAGAGAGAGAGAGAGAGAGAGAGAGAGAGAGAGAGGTGTTATTTGCATG